ACACGCACACACGCACACACACTTATGCAAACAAACCGAGCAGAGCCAAGCAGTGCTTTATGATAAAATTTTACTAACATGTTAACACACAATGCACAGAGCATTAAGCACCAGCGACCCTGTAATAACTGTCAATGCAGTAAACGGCTCTTGTCTCATGTGCTCAGGAGCCAGCATCACAGAACCCTGTCATCCATGCACATGATGTTTGTGATACGAGTCTCTGTCATACACACGCCTGAGGAAACATATTCCCAGAATGGTCCAGGAATAGTTGCTCGTTATGATTGTACTTGCGTTTGTGAAGACTGACAATCGCCTAAAACGCTTTTATTTCAACGCTCCTCCTGGAGGGTTGAAGGAAAGTCTCGCCTGGCACGCTGTGAGCACCTATGGAAGCCTATTTCTGCCAAGAAAGAGAAAAAGAAACCGATGAACAGTTAGAAATGTTAACAAATACTCACGTAAATCAAAATTTTGGAGATACTAAGACACTAATTTAAATGTTTTTTGTCTTTTCATGTAAAAGTATGAGCTCCTAAGTTAAACATTTGAAGTCAGTATTATTAAGGAATTTAGTATTATTAAATAAAGTCAAAAGTTTGACTTCTCGTTGAAATTAAAAAAAGTAATAATTGATACCACGTCCGAATTACAAACTGATAGCTTTGACTTTTTTATGTAATAATTTTAAATGACCATGAACATTTTTAATATTTAGTTTTTTCTTCTTTTCCTGGTGGAGACGGGTTTTTATAATGAAACTTTGATAAACTTGAGCTCAATGCAATACTGCTTTCCTCCCTTTATGGAAAGTTTTTACTGGGCAGCACTGACACAACAAATGCAATTTGGAAGTATCTATACTACTTTATAGCATTCAAATCACTAAATCTGATGAATTCTCAATGCAAAACTCATTTAATTTAATTAATTACGGTCCTAAGTCATGTACGATTTACTTGTAAAGAATATAATTTATTTTGTGCTGTGCACCAGTTTGTAAGAGGATGTTTTTAGCTCAAATGGAGGAAGACTGAACTTCTGTAGTGGCTCGAACTGTATAAACTTTGCAACTAAAACATGATTCATACACACAGATGAACCTGCACTCACACAGCACTCACTCTCTCAGACATTTATATGTGGGACAGTAAATCGTGGTTTATACTTCAGACATGTCACGTGACATTAATGCAGACAGTTTAAGTCCACACATGTTGAGAGACGGACAGATTTAGTAATCTGATGATGTGTGTGCCACTCAGCTGTGACTGGATGTGTGATCTTGTGGTAAGAAAACAGAGGATGATAAAAAAAAACAAAGTGGTTTTTATTCCTCTGAATGTAAACAAAGACAGATGTTGGCCTGTGGTTGCTGTAGTAACAGTGTGTGCTACTGCTGATAACAGTTTATAATTGAGCCTTAAAGTCTTCACACCTTCTTCCCCAAACCACCACTATATAAATCGTATAATCATTTGAGAGTGATCACATTTTAGCTTTGCACTGTAATCTAAATGAGAGTTTAACATGAAGATCTTTTTCATGCTTTTAATGAGACTCTGGTTCATTACGTTCCCGACTGCAGTTGAAGGCTGACGTATTTATAGAAATTCAAAATGAAATGTCAAACATTGAAAACCCCCAAAATTTTGTTTTTTCGAAGTCATAATTTTGATTTAGGAAGTCAAAATCTTTTACTAATTCATTAAGTCTTAATTATAATTACAATTATTATTTGAACATACCATTTTTTTTATTATTTTGCAGACAGAAGTGTGCTGCCATAGTTAAGTGAGTCCAAACTGTGAGAGAAAAGTCCTGCAACAATTCACCAGAAATGTTTTCACCAGCGTGCTTTTAGTAAAGATCCTTTTAGATGATTAGTGGCTGCACGGCCAAATCTGCATTTCTGAGAAAACAGGAGAAAAAAGACCCAACACTACAGCCAGCATTGTTTTAACTGATATCTCACAGATGGAGCGGCTTTTTGATTTGCTTTTAAACAATGCTGGAGCCTTAAGGGAATGAGAGCAGAGCCAAAGATTGAACAAGTTGGTTGCAATCTGAACGAATGACGACTGGTTCCTGTAGAGATAATGAGAGCAGCTCGAGGCTTAACGTTTTGTTCTTACACTAAATTTAATCTGCTGAAGAGCCAATTCTGACAAAAACTGAACTCCTGACGACCATCCCGCTCAGGATCCTCTATGTCGAAGTCTGTTTTAAATTGTTTTCTGATGAACTGACGAGAGCTGCACAGTCAAACTTACAAACCTACACAAAGTCACAGAGTCCTTTTTTAAAACCCAACAAACTTACTTTCATAATCCACTTCAGATTATACATTTTTGGATCAATTTCAGGTCATTTAGTGTCTCAGAGAACTCTAAACTACAGTGTAAATTTTAAATCCTGTAAGAAATAAAAAATTAAAGGTCCAGTGTGTAACATTGAGGAGGATCTTTTGGCAGAAATGGAATATATTATTCATGTTTTCATTAGTGTTAAATCACCTGAATATAAGAATCTTTTGTGTTTCTGTTACTTCAGAATGAGACGTTTTCATCTGTTGAACCGCCATGTTTCTACAGTAGCCCAGAATGGACAAACCAAACACTGCCTGTAGATGGGGCCTTTTGCAGGTTTCTTGAGGCCACCGTAGTTTCTCCTACACACAAGGCTGAGCTGTATTCAAATTGTTGAAATCTGCAACTTAACCACTAAAATCCTGCACACTGGTCCTTTTTTAAACATTGAGAAAATAATTGTTGTTTATTAAAAAAATCTTGAAGTTTAAAAGGCCAAAACTTGCAAAACCGTTGGTCCTTAAAATAGAAAATAATTCAACTCAAAGCTTCTTTAGGCCTGATTTTATTTTAATTCATGAACATACAGAGTCTACGGAGTCCTAACAGTGTAAAAATTAAAACCACATATAGTGACAGCAATAACAGCTTAACAGGTCATTTAATTTATTGTGGTAACTTGTATTTTACAGAATGTAAATTACTTTGATTTGTTTTGTTTTTTCTAAAACTATAGTTATTGGTTACAAATAACAGCACATAGTTGTTTGATGTTTGCTTTTTCAGAATTTGACTTGTTTGAATATGTTAAATGGCCGCTGTTGACAAACTTTGTTGTTGTTTTTGTTTGTTTTTTTGGGTCATTTTCCTTTAAGCCATCATGTAACACGTTTATATAAATGCTTTGAAATTTGCCTCTCTTTTTTTTTTTGTCTAGCAGATAATTGTAGAGAATAAAAACGCGTGCTGGTTGGATAAACCTGTGACATCTGGTTGTTGGACAACCATCTAAGTTTTATATTTGTAAAAAAAAAAACTTATTTTAACAACTTTGAATTTTTTACGGAGGCCTGTTCTCATATTGTACTCTGTGGAGAATGAAGAGTTTTGTACATAATGGTGTAAAGTGAAATGATGGCCCAGATATGATGTACAATAGTTATTTTGCTATTACAACAGATGTCTTACTAAATACAGAGATATAAATAAGAGTGGCTCCATATAATGTTCACTTACCTTTCTCTGACTAATTACATTGTTGTTGACACCTTGACTTTTTGAATTTGTAGTGGTTTTTTTATTAGTTATTTTGCGAATTTAACCAATTTATTGATGTTAATGGCTACGTATACATGCTCAAAAAACGTGATTATAATGTAATTAGGAGAGCCAGAAAGCATTGATATCGGATGATTAAGCAAAATCCCATATTACATTGAAATAATAAAATATTTTTTACAGTATCTGCTTATGTTAGCTATGGTAGAATATTTCTTTATGACCAATAATCTGTGGCTAAACTGTACTGACAGATTTCTTCTTTAAAGCAGTGTTGGAAGAAGTTCTCAAATATTTTTACTAAAAATACAAAAGAAGTAGCATCAAAAAGTACCAAAAGTAAAAGTACTCATAATGCAGAATAATGTATATTATAATATTGTATTAATAATGAATTTAAATTAATGTGTACATCACTTTCATGTTGCAGCTGGTTAAGGTAGAGATCATTTTTATTACTTTATATCCTGCTGGGTAGCTTGTGAGTTCAACCCCAAGTTTAACCTATAATAATAATACATCATAATTTATTTGTTTATTTATGGGTTATTCTATTTTGTATTATTAATCTGAATCTGCAAAGTAACTAGTAACAAAGGTTAACAAATATAATGGAGTAAAACATTAAATATATCCCTGTAGTATAAAATAACCTCAAAATTATTAAGTATTTGAATAATTAAACTTAATTACTTTGCCCCACTGCCAGAGTAATTACATGTTTACCTGCAGTAACGGCTGAATCCAATATTTTCATTTGTGGTTTTCCCCCGAAGAAGACATTTTATCATCAAGAACAGACAGAAGAAATCAGTGCAATCACAAAAATACACTTTTAAGACGCAACACTGATCATTTTAATGGGTATCATAACATACAAAGTATTTCACAAAAGTGTACTGTGACTGTACTTCAATCATCAATCAATCAATCATCTATTTTCAAATTTCCTTACTTATAGTCATTGCAGTTGCTAGTTTGTTAGATCTGGCTGTTACCCAGTGGTGTTAGTGAATAAAAGTTCACAATAGCATGTGGCTATCTTCACTTTTTAATGCTAACAGTACTTTTAAGGTTAAGTGCCAAAATATTTGAGCCAATATTTGAGCCAAGTGCTGTTGGAGAAAAGAAATATAAACACTACAAATTCAAAATGTCAACGTACGCTGATACAAGCACATACAGCCATTAGGTTGCAATACTGCGCCTTATTTTGTTTCCTTGACACTGTTTTTGTTTTTATTGAAGCCATAAAACCACTTCAATGAACCACTCTGGTGACCTGAAGGACAGTTGGGAGAAAAGTATCAGAAGCTTTATGTAATGAAACTGACTTTTTTTTCACATAAGCTGTCTATTTATTGTAACTTGAAGCTGAGTGTATTTCATGGCATTGTTTGCTTCTATGCATACAGAATTGTAATAAAACATTCACACAATGGCCTATCTAGAAGACTCTGTGCTACACAACCGCTGTGAACCAGGATGAAACAACAGCATTCATGTCACAGTGAAACTAAACCTGTATGTTCCATTAAATCTGTTGTCTCTTTCCCTTTTTCCTTTCCCCCCCATTGACCGACGCTCTCGTCTTCTTCTCCCCCTTTGGTCGATGTCCTTTCCCCCTGCTGCTGATTGGCCGTTTTGCCTGCCTGTCGAAGGTGTCCTCCAACAGCGTGTTTCCTCTGGGAGAGTAGCTGATGGAGGACCAGGTGAGGACGGAGCCGCGGTATGACGACCTAAAAGACACAATTATTCTTCTAAATGATGGATTTCCCAAATCAAATAAAGTGCCCCGTCCCCCCTGAACTACCCACCAGCAAACATCAGACTTTAATAAACTAAAAGGTAATTCTCAACCTGGACCGTGAAACATTTTCTGTTCTGTGCTGTGTATCATTGGAGGAAGTTAACAGTGAGTGTAGTAATGACACAATAACTGCAGGAAGTTTAAGTAAACAAGTGATTTTAAGGAATTTTGAGGAGATTATTTCCTGTGAATGTTGCATCAGAGATGAGATTTCCTGATATTTTTAGGAACCTTTCATACATTTCTCTCTGTACTATGTATTTTTTTTTTTTATGTATTTTTATTATTTTTAGCATCACAGATACTTATTTGGGTTATTTTTTGATCTTCAGTGGTGGATGAGGCTGTTTATCTGAAGGCTTGTGAATTCAGCTTGTGTTCAGGTCTTCACCGTGCCCTTATCCTGTGAGATTCTGTTTCAGTTTATATCTTGAATGATATTGTTTTTATTTTACTTACATCTAAGTAAGCCATCTGTGGCGACCCCTCTCCGGTTTATTGGCCCTTCTACTTGAGTAAAATGTGTGTACTTTTGCCACCTCTGATAAGTTATCAGACACTAAGAACAACAATCTGAGCCAGTTTGTGGCAAAAATAGACACTTTTAATAGACATATTTTGACAATGTGCAATTGCAATTATAAGGATTACGTCTGTTTCACAGCTGCAGCACTCTCAGTCAATAATGGACCAAATTCAAAACTTATTGTCCCCACAAAAACATGGGAAAATAAGGTCCATGTTGAAAAATACTTTATACAGGAATGAAACATGTTGTAGTTTACTGTTACTTTACTTTTTTGTTTGCCCTGGTCATAGATATGGATGCTTGTTGTCTGTGTGAATTTGAGTAATATTGGGTAGATATATTAAACATGCGGCAGGTTTGAACTTTTAAACCTTAATATTTGCCTTTAATTAATTAATTAACCTTTAACAGCTAAACCTCAGTTTCAATAGACTAGTGCAACTACACACACACACACACACACACACACAACCAGACACACACACACATAAACACACCAGCTGGTCATGTAGTTGTAGATTTCGTTGTAGTTGAGAGGATAATCCCAGACCTGGACGTCTGTCAACTGACCATCAAAACCTGGAAAATCAATCACAGGCTCACCAGACCAAGTCATACTGAACACACACACACACACACAGAAGAGAGAGAAAGGTCATATTAGAGACAATAATGAAGATGATTACATGCAAAATCCACAATAAACATTGGAGGCTTCAACCACATTGCTGAAATGCTAAACAAGCATGGTACTTTTTCCTCACCTGAAAAGGCAGCTTCTTCCTGACGCTAATGCTCCAGCCGCTAAACATCTGGACCACACCCTTCACGGTGTCCACGGTGAGGCAGACTCTGGTCCAGAGATCCCGTTGAGTGGTTGACCAGAATATTATGTTAGGTAGCAAGTATAGCGTTCTGTATCCGCCAA